ATTCATCGAGATTGAAACAGCAGCGTCAAAAGTGACAAATAAAGAATCCATTACGTGAGGGATCAATTTTTCATGTAATCCTTAAGTGATCGCTTAAATCTTTCAAATTTAAAAATAGGTAGCAAAATGTGTATTTGAATTCATTGTCGCATTAAAAAATGGAGAGATTAAGCTTCAGAACTTTGTTGCTCTGGCAACAAAGTTGTAAGATTGGAAAGAAACCGTTTTTTAATTCTATATTTTTGTCAGTTTTAAATATTTATATTTTTAACAAATAGGCCTTTTGATTTATAATAACGTGAAAAAGTGCAAGTCAACGGCCCTTTAGGGCCAGCAATTATTTTATGGCGTTTGGAACGCACGGTACTTCTCAGCATGATTATATTTCTTATCACTTTTTACCGTGTATTATTTGACAAAATAAGCTGCATGGATTTTGAATAGATAAGTTTTTTTAAAAGAAAATTTTTATTTTGAGAAGTTTTAGGAATAGATTTAAAATCTTGAACTGAAAACGTTTTACATTACGCGTCAATACACTGGGGTGTTCTATTGATTGAGTCTTAGACAAAGCTGAGACGGAGGGGCCGCTAGTGATAAAATATTGAGAATTTTTCCTCCTCGTAAATAACGTCATACTTTCTGTACTCTAAAGTAATTAATAATCGCGTATCTTTATTCTCTACTACATATGCTGATATTTTTGTTCCTAAATTGGTTAATTTGCATATTTATTTATTTTGTTTTAATAACAACATATTATTTTTGCTAAGTATGGTCTTCAGCATATTTAAAAGTATACATACGTATGGGTATGGGGAGTTATTTCTCAATTTCTTTCAATTAAAGTACTAAATACTATTGCTAGGCAAAGCAATTATAAAATACGAATAGTGAACCAACCGAGGCAAAGAAGTTTTATATTAATAAATCAGCAGCAATTTTTCAATTTGATTACAAAAAATAATGTAATTATTTCATGGTATCTAAAAGAACAGGACTTTTAGTGAGAGTTTTTATAAGAATGGTCGTAGTAATGCAGTGGTTTAGGATACATATTTTGTAGCTTTAGGGGCTTGATGACACATGCTGACTAAGTTCTAGTTGAAGTTCTTAAAGGCTCAGCTTGCATCTCTAAGATATTTTGTTAACAGGTTACCATGAGATCTCTCGTTACTATGTAGCCTTTCAGTGTAGAAAACTCTGTATCTCAGGTAGTTACTTCTCACTGCTTAAGTCGACGTTCTCTGCCGAAGTATTAGATCCAGGCTTATTAGCATCCCCGAAAAAGCCCCGTGTTTCAGGGATCACTTCTCTGCGGTAAGGCCGGCGCTCCCTGCCTGGCTCCATGGCTTCGGATCCGATAATGTGTATCGGTAGTCCTAACACTGTTTCGCATTCACACATGCCTGGAGATCTATGGGAAAAAAAATCTTGGAAATACATTGAAGGGAAGTTCTATGAAAAAATCTATCCCGAAATAGCCAGGGCTTATAGAAACTTTTTGCCATAAATACAGTTTTTGAAAAAATCTGTACTAATCAGGAATTGAACCCACGATCTCTAAAACGATGTTACATGTGCACTATGCACGTTTGCCACTGATCTAACAGAGCTCCTTACCTCTGAGATATTATCTTACGTACATATTTTAGGAATGGGCTGATTATTCAGAAGTCATTGAAAATAAGACGTTCCTATTTCTGTGCACATTCTGATGCACATAATTAAAGAAGTCGTGCTCTACGCGAATGACGAAAATATGGTAACATGTAACAACAGCCTTGCAAAGATATAATAATTATTTTCTTGAAATGACCGTTAATCGTATAATGAAGCAACTGTTACACACTATAAGATTGCAAGGAACTACCTTGCAAGGGAGAACAGAATGGCTACATTTTGTAATTTAATTTTCTTCAGACAAACATTGTAAGCTACGTTAAGTATATATTTTCAGAGCTCTTACAGGATGTCTAGTCCTTAAGTAACTTTTCCTGCTACTAAAACTAATTCAGGTTGATCAAGTCCATTGCTTGGTTAATATTGATTTTTTCTTTTCTTATCTTTTTTTATCACCTTAATGAAAGGCATTTTATCAGCGGAAGTTTACCTACTTTTATGCAAGCATAATGTGAATAAGTGCATAAATAGTACTTTTAAGAATAATTTAAGCCAAAGTTCGTCGTAACACGACAAGAGTTAAGCCGGGAAGTTTTAACTTATAATGGTTTAGGTTGCATCTTAGACTAAAAAAAATTCGGTACTTGTTTATAAGCACGCGTTGCAACTCAATTTTTCTTTGATTCTTGACACATTACGAGAAAATTTGGCTAAAATTATTCCTAAAAGTGCTAGCTTTGTGGCTTTTCTGAATATTTTGCATGAAAGTGCTGTAAAATTACTAGTTATCAATGATTCTTTTTTATAAAGTATAGGGTAAAAACACCTGCTGGTATTCTTAATTTTCTTAATGCTTAGTCAGAAAAGGACCATAGGTAAGTTGAGATAACCATTTATTAACAGTCTGTTATCCTCGTTTATTATGTTATGCGTTCATTAGTCTTGAGTGTAACTCACCTCCAAATACACATTGATGCTATGGGTAATTCTGTGGTAAATAGTTTTTCATTAAATTTTTCAGTACATTTAACATTATCAGTCCTTTAAGATATGGATAAGCCTGTAGTTCCGTATTTTATGGTAATATTTTTTTTATCATAAAATATTTCTGGAGAAGGCTATACTAAATATTGACAAGCTAATGTTCTTCTTTGATAAAAACTTATTGAAACATTATATGTTATTCGCTCGTACTTTTTTACTTCTTTCATTGATAAATTAAATGTGTTTATATTGCTGCTTTATATTTATTTTACAAATGGCTTTATCAAACACATATATTAAATAAATAATAATAATAATGTTGTCTTTGTTTAGGTGAAAATTACAAACAGATTAAAGTAGGCCAGCTACGTACACCGATAGGTATGATTCATTTATCCGTATCATATCGTACAAAAATGACGATTTCTCCTACACGAACTGGACGAGATTTGATAATGTTAAAAAGTGATCATTTTCATTCAGATTTATGCTCAGAATATACTCGAGATCAAGAAAGGTAAGGTATATTCTACGTATAAGTGTAAACTCTCTAAACAAAAATTTTCATTCTGGTTATTTCAGCTTTAAGTTATTAACTAATACGAAAAAAGTTGGGGCATTTGTTGATAATAAGCAAATACTTTTGAATGAAGAAAATGAATGTGATCTTCCATTAAGCTTACTTTTGACGCCACAGAAAACCCTCAAATCTTTTCTACCTTCAGAGCTGAAAAATACATCACAAAAGCAAATGGACTCAAGTAACCGAGATGAGCAAACTTTCAATATCCTTGAGCGACGATATTACTCTCAAGATGAATCTAAAAAAAGTAGTTGCTCGACGATAAGTGCGAATGATGATTTTATTTTGGTGGATTTGGTAAGTATTCTAGTATTGTCCATTTATTTTAGGTTTTAAGTTACAAGTTGAGAGTCTCCATAGAAGAGCTTGATAAACGTTTGGTAAAAGTATATATAATTGCACGCAATCTACTAATATTCTTAACTTTTCCAAGAATTTAGTAGATAAATTCATTTAAAGAATTTTCTAAAATTAAAAGTATTTGTTGTGCTCTCGTCAGTAAAAATAGTCTTTGTAATCAGTGCACATCTAATCAACGCAATTCTAAACGAACTTTAGTATCAGTTTTTTAGCACTGTAGAGCTATGTGGTGTTAAATTTGTAACAGTGTTTTAAGTACATGTAACTACAACAGTATTTTATCTAAAAATTAAAAAAAAATAGATGCTAACTGATTGACGAACATAACTGCCTTTTTTAAAAAGTAGACGAACCTCGGGTAATAAACACTACTGTTAGCTTTTAATTTCAAGACCTATTTTCAGCTCATATGACAAACACTTTTCGTTTAAGTAGTAACTAGATTTTTATACAATCACCTTCCTACGTTAAAGATTGCATAACTAGTAAGTTTTATTTGTCCTTAAGTTTTTGCTCAATAGCTTGGAGGCATATAAGACTTGCATATGTCAATCTCCTCCTTAATAAGCCAACGATAGAAATAAAATAAAACTACATATTCAATTAACAAAAAAAGTGACAAATTTTCTGGCAATGGCGATATCTTCTTGTTTAATCCCGACCTATCCGACTGAGCCACCGCGCGCTGTTATATGTAAGACTTCATTTAAACCTTGTGGTATAACCACGTATGGCTTCAAAAATTATCACATAAATTAAGTACATAATGTTTACAATATATATAGCACAGGAATTATAACATGAGTAATAGTAAAAGAAAATACTACACGCAGGAGGATACTTGAATATAATACTATGTATAATTACAAGAGTTATCAATAAAAGGTTCAATTATATCATTTAGTGCATAACAAGTGAAGTACGCAAAATTGTATCTTAACGAAGTTTAGCACATTTTTATATTCTAAGTAAAAGTAAATATGATTCAGAGGATGATTAAGTGTAATTTTACAGTGTTGTGTTTTTAGTACTTTAGAAAACGTTATAGAAGTAATAATGTAGAAGAGAGGTTTGATTCACCGAGATAACACTATAGCTTAAGAGACAATCTGTTTTCTCTATCCCAATTTTTCTTGAGTCATAAGGAATGTAAAAAGTGAGGTCTTGAAAATATTTACCGGAGATAGGTCAAAAGTAGTTTGGCACAGTTTATTTATGAGGAGCAAGGATTGAACAGCAAACGAGCATCTTATAGTCTCAGTTTTAAACGGTGGGATCAAGAGATAATGATAAGGTTGTCTTTGAGAGCGACGCAATTCAAAGTGATCAGAGGCTAGTGTATAAAGAGACAAAAGGTAATCGGGGGAACCATGCGATAGGGTTGAAAAGGCTTCAAATTTCCAACATATAGTCTCGGCGTCGGGGCACTGAGAGCCATCCCAGTTTTAAACAATGGGGTGTAACTCTAGATCACCAGCTTATGTTGCCAATGGCATATCGGACGCAGGTATTTAAAATCCGATTTAGTCGAAGGTTGGAGTTCTCACTTATACTATGATAAGCTGCAGACATGTAATCGAACAACGGAAAGATCAGACTTTCGACCAATTGTTTTTTCAATGAGTATAAGAGTGCATGTTTGCAGTGTTTTAGGCTATAGAGCGATTGAAAGACACGGTTTGAGATAAATTGGGCGTGGTGTTCCCAATTTAACGTGGGGGTTAGCCAAAGTCCTAGATTTTTCACAGCTGATGCTTTTTGTATTTCAACTCCACTGACAATAACGGTGGGAACACCAGACGAAGCTAATTGGGCTAACATTTGTGTACTGCCAAGGACCATTACTTTAGTTTTCGGAATATTCGGTGTTAATCTGTTATCTACAGCCCAATCTATTAACGCACTAGAGTCCAAGTTAACATGTTCGATTCCCGACTAAATATCTTGTGGATAACATGAGTAATAAATCTGCGTATCATCGGCATAAATCATATGCTTGCAGTATTAAATAACTGACGGAAGATTATTTATGTAAATAAGGAAGAGTAGAGGGCCAAGTACATTCCCTTGTGGGACACCGGTTTTTGAAGGGAGCCAATCAGACAGTGTGTGGCCAATACCAATCACTGCATGCCTACATCTAGATAAATAAGAAAAAAACCATTTTAAGGTAGAATCATCGCAGTTTACGTATCGTAAATTTTCGAGCAACCGTGCATGAGAAATAGTATCAAAGGCTTTTCGAAAGTCAAAAAGCACTAGAATAGTTACCATGCTACCTACCGTCAAAAATCCGAATAAGTGAAGTTTGAGTGCTGTGACCCGCTCTGAAACCTGCCTGATACTGATCTAGAAAATTATCACTGTTGAGGTGGGTATATAGTTGTCTATGTATTACGGTGCTATTTGGACGTCTATAAACTGTTGCAAAAAAAAGTTAAAAAAAAGAATGAAATTTCCAGAATGATGTACTCTAGAGCATTGTCGAATATTGGGTCAGAGGCATGTAAAATTTTAACAGGTAAATCATCGTGGACATATATACAGACACTACCCTCCCCTTTCCCCTCCCTATCATTGCGAAAGGTGTTTAAAAAAACTATTTTCATCCGCAATTAAATATATAAATTTGTTCTGATTTAATGAAACCTTTGTTCTAATAAAATAAAATGTATTTCCTTATAAGCCTTTGTAGTCATTGAGGAAAAACTATTAACCCGTAGAATTTGTACGAAATGGCTAATAAGTAGTTCTTCAGACTAACGTACCATTAACAGTTACTTATATCCAGTAATAAGAGATATCAACAACAGTTATACAATGAATTGATCAATAATAACAGTATTTTAAGCCAGACGTCTGAGTTTAAATGAAATTTGTTAACTGATATTCCAAAAAAATTTTGTAATTTAAAAGTGATATGGAAGTTTGTAAAATGTACCCAAATCATCCTTTCTCTCTTGTTTCTTTAACATGCACTATACATGTACTGTATACAAAATGCGTGATGGTACTAATACCTTAATATGCTGCTCATACTCAAAATGTTTGTTCGTAAATATTAATAATAATTTATTAGCTATATATTGTCATGGACGTCGCTTGGTTCAGCCAGGCCAGCGCCCGTATGTTAGCACACCAGTGTGTAACTGACGACACAATAGAGTAGTCTAAAAGTTAGCAGCTAAGTTTCCAGAGATTTAAAAAAATACATCTTTTACCCAAGCCTTCAAGAGTTACTTACTAAGATTTCCAGATTCAGGAGCAAGTATCAATACATTATCTGGTGTAAATAATGTTTGTTTAACTCGAGGTTTGAAATCTCCACTTGCCTCTTTTAATACCAAAAATAAAAGTGAAAGCACATTACCCTCTGCTGATATGATAGGTTGAATAGTGTAGATGTGGGTTAGTGAAGACTAATTGCGCTATACTTTGAATTTCGTTCAGTCCTAGATAATTAATTAATGATGAAACGAACTTACTAGTAAGTGAAGTTCGATCGTAATTATACAAAGAGCCTCGTTCGAAGAGATCACTCGTAGTAGTTACCCTTTTATCCGTTAGAGATCACAGCGATTATAGTTCTATATCTGAAAAGAAAACATATCGTGGGGAGGGGTATTCATTTTCCTGCGCTCTCCGCGCGTGCTTCTCATATCTTCATAGTTAAAAATAAGAAATTTCTCTTTTTTTATTGTTATATTTTATATAAATACTTTTTTTTTTTTTTTTTTTTTTTTTTTTTTTTTGGTGGGTTGAATATGTCATGGATTAGAAGAGATCGTAATCTCTCGAACGAAGCTCTTCGTATCATTACCAGCTAACTTCACTTACAGGTAAATTCGTTTGATCATCAATTCTACTTCATTCACCTCGTTCTCGTAGTTGTTCATAAAGAGAGAACGAAACAGAACGTCTTTATTTAAACTTTACATCTTTACATTACAGTGAGAGTGAGAGGGTGAGGATACCCGAACATACAAGCAATCTTATTATTAATGTTTCATTACTTTTAAGGCAAATTCGCTCTTATCCGGCAAGACTGGTCTTTTATATAATTTTGCGAATACCTCTGATTCGGTGGACCAGCTTACGGTTCTCCTAATCGTCTCTTAGTGCCTTGTGTCTCGTGGAGTGACCTGACGAGGACGCGTGTCTCGTGGAGTGACGTGAAAGTATAGCGTTGTTTACTCCGCTTTTATCTAAGACTAAATCCAAAGGTCTTGAAGCTGTTGATGCAATTTAAGATCTTCTCGGACCACCACGTTAGGTCTGGCACAATAAATTTGCGTATTGGCATCTTCTCACCAAAATCAAAGTTATTCCTGCACAAAGCTTACGTCTTTTGTCTTTCTCTAACGCTTTTCTGTGCACAAAGCCGTACTCGATAATTGGTACCGCTGCCACCAATTTCCCGAGTACTGTAGCGAAATCTTTGATAGAGCAAGGCTTTCTTAGTTAAAGTTTTTTTATTCGCTCAAATTGACTCACTCTTTTCTGTTGCGGAAGCTTAAGGGTGTATTTTTGTGAATCAAATATAAAACCCACAAAGCCGCATCCAACACTCGGGGTTAACACGCTCTTTTTCCAGCTAATCAGAAACCTCAGAGAGATGAGAAGGTCGATCGTTCATTCGACATTCTCTACTCAGCCTATATAGCTCTCATGGATAATTCAAAAGTCATCTTAGTATAACACTGAAGACTATCCTCTGACACGTAGAGTAGCTGCCACGGGTTTCAGGATCTTTGTAAATATAAATTGGGCCATGTTCAAGACAAAAGGCAGGCACGTGAACTAAAACAAATTCCCCTCCCAGATAAATCTCAAGAGTTTTCTGCTCTCTCTGTGCATGGGGACCGTATAAAAAGCGTCGTCTAGGTCCAATTTACACTTATATGAAACTTGAGAGACAAGGTTGGTGGCCGTTCTAA